ATTTTTGTTTTTTCTCCGAAAAAATAAATTGGTTTGAAGAAAAAAAAAACTTTCAAGAAGAAAATAATGAAAAGTTTTTCGGGAAAAAATTTGAGAAAATTTCCGGGAAGAAAATTTTCAATTTTTTTTTTACTCATTACATTGGGTGTTGGTTGTTGATCACTACCGATGATAAAAATGGGCTTTTTTTCATCTTCTTCTATAGTCAACCAAACCAACGCCAAAAAAAACAGAAGCTTGAAAATTCATCATAGCTATCTTCAAATCCAAATCTTTTAAATTAACCTTTAGTTTGGCAAAAAATGACCTTGAGCCAAATGAAATTACCAAAAAGAAAGAAATTTCCCAGAAATTCTGCCACGTGTCACAAAAAAAAATCGATTTTTTTAGCAAACAAAAAAAAACCCAGAAAACTTCCGGACAATAACAACAATGGTTACCATAATAGAAAAAAGTTTGTTTTTGTTTTTGATTCAGGGTTCGGTTGTTACGTAACAAAAAAAAAATCAAGTCAACCGGATCAATGTTATTCACGACCAACAAAGAAGATAACACCACACACACCACACACACACAAATATTCTCGCTGCACATGAATTAACACAAAAAAATCATTACCATTATCACCATTACCATATAGGCGTCATCATCATCATCATTGACATTGAATATTTTCAACAGAGAAAAAAATCAATTTGTTGCTACTACTACTACCTTACTTTTTCGATAATGGGATGTTACAAAAAATGATTATTTAACACATTTGGAAAAATAAGGGAGTGTTTTTTCCATTGGCACGTGTTTTTCATCATCATTCATTATATAATTATCTTTTGAATGAAAAGTGATAATTTTATCTATTTAATTGATTTTGTTGAAATAGTCATTATTATTTTCATGAATGTCCATTCGACCATTCAACTAAAAACTTTTTGGAAAATTTACCAAAAAAATTTACAAAAAAAAGACAGGATAATTTTTTGACAAATGGAATTCTACCAGGAAAAACTGACATGATGATTGACATGCTGCCAAAAAGCATGAAAGATGAAAAAAAGTCAAAAGTCAAAGTCAAAAAAACAAAAACGAAAAAGATTCTCAACGATTACGTAATATGATTTGAATGGTAGAAAAATTCATTCAGGTATTATCTCTCTTGGCAATTATCTCATCATAGCACAAAAAGGTAACTCTTCAAAGGTAATTATCGTTTGTTTGAAAAAAGAAAAACATTTTGTAAACTTTCCGTTTCCGTTAATCTTAGTTTTTTTTGTTCATTTGAAACATTCAACACCCAAAGACAAAATGATGATAACCCAACTTACTCTTTCGAGCTGCCAAAAATAAAAATAAAAAAGTTTTAATTATCAACATTGACTTTTTGTTTGTTTGGGAAAAAAACAATTAAAAAATTTATGACATTCAAACTGGTCCAACGAGGAAAATTCTCTTCACTAACTCTAAAATTCAATTTTGAATGACATCAATAAAAACATTTTGGAAATCCCATCCAAAAAAAAAACCTAAAAACCATAAGTTGGCCATATTGAACCAATTTTTTACAGCTGAAACAAAATCACCCAATATTCTGGTGGATGATATAATCATAAATTTTTTGTTTCTCCTCTATTTACCAGTTTCCAATTTTCATAAACTATATTATAATCTCTCTATCATTCTCTAGCTTAAACTTTGTCATTCTTGAAACACCATAATCATAAAACTTTCATGTCACACCATATTCAACATTAATGTTTTACTTTTTCCAAAAAAAAAAAAAATCCAAGTGTCATCATTATAATCATCAAGAAAGAACAGAAGAAAAAAAAATTATTATAATCTTGTTACAAACCAAAAGGCAAACATCATATAACAATATTTTTTGTTATCAGAGGGGTTTTTTATGATCGAAGCTGACCTGGATTTTTCTTTTTTGGAAGGGTCAAACAACAACAGCAAATTTCATTAAAGTTATTAATAGATTTTTGGGAAAATTTTCTGAAAAGAAAAATGATGATAATAATCGATAACCATTGAACATTGACTAAAGGATTCCTGTGTTTTGCTGTTCAATTTTTCTAAATAATGATAATTAGATTGGATTGCATAATAAACAAGCAAGAAGAAAAAACCCCCACAACAACAACAAAAAAATGACTAACAACAATTAATTAATCATCAAACACAGAGAAATGAATGTGAAAAATATGACATCTTTTTTTTCTGAAGATAAATTATACTGGGCAGAATGGACAGCAAACAACCAACCAGCCAACAAACAAATAGCGACCATTTTCATATGTGACATATGTGTGTTTCAAATAACAACAAAGAATCTACACAAGTTACACACAATGAAAAATTATCCATTGAAAAAACAACAGAAAAATATTAAGTTGTATCATCATCATTCATTCAGTTCAGTTCTGTAACTTTGTTTTTTTTTTGTTGTTTGGTTCAATATTAATTATGATGATGATGACCTAACACATTATGAATTTGTCATTTTCATTTTCTTGACACATAGTAATTTATATGTTTGATTTCGACATGGAAAAAGTGAATGAAAAAAAATTTAACCCTTTCATTCATTTCATTGTATTTGTTAGTCCATCGATTGTCTTTTGTCATAAATGTCATTCATGGATAATCCAATGTTTGTGTTAATGTCTTTGGCTAATTAAACACAACATTTTTTGAACATTATCATTATCATCAGAAATATTTTTCCTTGGACAAATGTAATTCTGCAGATTGAAATGAATTAAAATGAAATCGAGATAAAGAGAGATTGAGAATTTTTGAAATGTCATTCGATTAATTGGACTCTAAGGACTTTTCAAACAAACAAAAAAACAAAAAAGTTTTTAAAAAACTTTGAAAAAATTCATTTGAAAAAATTCCTGTATCATTCAATGAATCAGATTATCTAATCAGTTTTAAGGGAAAAACAAAACAAAACAAGACATAAAAAATCGGAATGAATTTGATCGGATTTTGGAAAAATGTCAAGAGAGAGTGAGAGAATCATGGCAATTCAGAAAATCAGAATCAGTCCAGCTTAGTAAGCTGGACATTTTGTGTAATACCTATCAAACATCAAGTTTTTCCATCAAAATGATGATGCAAACTATGCATGTAACTTTGTTGTTGTTGTTTTTGTTTTCTATCTACCTATTTATTTATTTATAATGTTTATATAATTATTATTTTTATTTTATTCCTAGGTAATTGGAAATGATTTTTTTTTTCGAATGTAACTAACTAACAAACACACCTGGTTAGTTTTTATATATTCATAAGTTTTGTTTTTTTTCCAGGTAGAAACTTTTATACTTTTACTTTTTTTTTTGGGAAACACGCAAACGTAAACTGGATAATAATCATCATTTTAATGATGATCATCAGGAAGATAATCTGCAAACATGGGTCGAGTGAAAGAAAATTTTTTTCCAATGAAAATTTACATCGAATGTTACAGGGTAACATCGTTATTATCATCATTTACAAATGAATATATACGCCCTTTTTTAAAAAACTAACGAACAAATTTGTCCATCTCGAACTAAACTAAAAGCAAGCTTTAACGTGAAATACGCGTGTAATTCTAGCGTAACCAAAAATCCATAGTTATGTGTGTGTGTGACAAGCTTTCAGGGTGGAATTGGTCGGCAAAAAAAAAGTTCCATTACCATCCATACAGCGAGAGATAAGCAAAAAAAAACTACCAAAATGATAATTCAATAGAACGAACCGCATAGATATTAAATAATAATGAATGAATAAATGACATACAGAACTAAACACGTGCCATTTCGCAGGCCAGAAACAACAACCTAAACATAACAGTGAAAAAGTTTCAAATTACAGAACACACAGTGAACACAGTTATTTATCAAACAAGCAAGCAAGGAAATTGTTTTTTTGATTTGGATCTCTCCCCTCCACCAATAGATCATTTTGCATAAATTCAACTAAACTAAGCTTTGTTTGATGCTTAATATATAAATGACTGATGATTATTATGAAAATCGTGCCAAGATAATCTTTTTTTTACTTACTTTTACTTGTTGTTGTTGTTGGAACGCGTTTCCAGTATGTTTCCAATCGTGTAACGGTACAGGATACTTAAAAACTACAGACCGAGACAGATGATGACAATGATGATGATGATGAACCTCATTCGGTTTTGTTGATGTTGTTCAAATGTTGGGCAAATGGGCAAACTATTTTTTTTCCAAACAATATTTGGGTGAAACAACCAACCATTGGGCATATGTTCGGTATAGGTCATATGGCTAGAAGAAAAAAAACATTGGTCAAAACAACATAAATAACGATTGTTTTTGTTTTCACAGGATACGTACCAGAGTTTTGAGTCGAGTGTGTTCCATTTGACTGGATCTGGTATTTTTGGTCTTTTTTTTGGGTTTGGCTGGTTCGTTTGATCATAAAAATGTTTAGTTTGAAATGGCTGTCTGTCTGGTTGATAAACTGATCATCATCATCATTGTTGAATTGTTGTTGATCATTTTGATTCAATTTTTTTTTTGGGAAAATGTTTAACGTCAAACAAATATCAAATATCATAGGCAAACAGACACAGACAGACAAAACAAAACATCATTTTGGGAATAATCAATTGACTTGTTTGCCCCAATTGTCAGTCATATTTTCATTCATCAGTTTGATTGTCTAAAAACAGGATTAAATTGGTAGTTTTTCTTCTGGTAAATTGAATTATTTGATCGAATAAAATTATTTTCATTTGAATATCTTCGATGAATGATGACAATTGTTATTTCAATTTAATAAATTCAATAATTTTGACAGCTTAATTTTGAAATCAATTTTTTTTGAAACGAAGAAAATCTATTTCCTGTCAACACCATTTGAATTCAACAAAAGAAAGAAAAAAATATCAAAGGCGCGCACTCATCAATATCGATTGTATCGCGATATCCATGTGATTGTTGTTGTTTTGGTTTCGATTCGATTCTTTCAAAGCGCGCAAACCATAATTTTTTTCGGCAATTAAATTTGATTTGGAAATTAAATTTGATTTTTTCGACGAAATCGAAATGGATTTTGAATTAGAATATCGTTATGCTTTAGAATGTGAATTAAATTCTGAATCACAAAGAAATTGTGATCAAATTCGTAATCAATTAATACAACTTGTTGCATCACAACGATTGTTGCCATCGGCTTCATATAATGAACGTTTAAAAGATTTACTACGTGAATATTCATCGGAAATCGATAAGAAAACTGGATTGAATACATTTATTGATTCATCATTTGAAATTGTTCAACATGAATGTCATGAACGTGATGATTTTTCGGTTGATAAATGGCGAAGTACATTGAAAAAGAAACTTGATAATGGTGATTTAGTACGTAATAAATCTTTTGATAAAATGAAAGAAATTTCTGAAAAATTTCGTAAATTTAATCGTGAACGATTAATATCATTATTGGTAGAAGATGAATCCAATGATAATTCACCAGAACCGAACAATGATGATATGAATGATGATTCCGATTCAAAAAACATTCGACGTAAGTTTTTATTAGAATTTTCATTTTTTGCAATTCCTAATTTTCCGATTTTTATTTGCTAGCTTATTCGAATCAAATTCAACAACAACAGCGACAAGCAATGGTAAAAAGTTCACCAACACGAGTATCGGGATTATTTAGGAAAAAGACCACACAAACAAATGGTTTTACTCGAGCTTTATTCACACGAAATACAACATCATCACAAAGTTCATGTAATAGCGACGCACAAAGTGATTGCAATAGTATCAGTAGTCAAGAATCAAACAAATCTGAACATCATTTAATGCCGATTGATACTTTGCCCGTGATCAAAGAATCATTGAATGAATGTTATGATGATGATGATGATAGTGATAAAAATCAATCACCAGTTGAAATTGTAGCTACGAATAAAAAATCTGAATTTATAACCGGATTGGAAATACATTTGGTCAATCAAATTCAAAATGATGAAATACCCAAAGAAAAAGCACAGGAAATTATCGATAATGTACGAAAAGAAAAATTGAATACATTTAAAGATCCAATGGTGGCCGCAACATCAACAAATTCAACATTAATCAACGATGAACGATTAAAAGGAATCGAACCGAGTATGATTGAATTGATTCAAAATGAAATTATTGCCAATCTTGATAATACTGATTGGTCAAATATTGCCGGATTAGAATATGCTAAATCTACAATTCAACAGGTTGCCATATTACCATTAAAACGACCTGATCTATTTACTGGATTGCGTTCACCACCGAAAGGAATCTTGTTGTTTGGACCACCCGGTACTGGTAAAACAATGATTGGCCGTTGTATAGCATCACAAGCTAAGGCTACATTTTTTTCAATAACATCATCAACATTAACATCCAAATGGATTGGTGATGGTGAAAAGACAATGAAAACATTGTTTCAAGTTGCTCGATGTCTTCGACCATCAGTTATATTTATTGATGAAATTGATTCATTATTAACATCGAGATCCGATTCCGAACATGAAGCATCAAGACGAATGAAAACTGAATTTCTATCACAATTTGATGGTCTTTCGAATCAAACGAATGAAGGTTTATTGGTTATCGGTACAACAAATCGACCACATGAAATTGATGAAGCTGTACGAAGACGTTTTGCTGCTCGATTATATGTACCATTACCAGATCGGATGGCTCGTAAACAAATGTTGTTTAATAATTTAAAAAATGAAAAACATTCATTGACCGATGAACAGATTGATAGTATTGCCGAGCGTACAGAATCATTTTCCGGTTCAGATATAAAAATTTTATGCTGTGAAGCATCAATGGTATCCATTTCAGAAATAACTGATCGTTTATCAGATATCGATAAAGAAGAAATCAGGGAAATTTGTTTCTCGGATTTTGAACAAGCATTACAACGTATAAAACCAAGTTTTTCACGTGATGATCTTGGTATTTATGAAAGTTGGAATGAAAAATATGGTTCCAATTGAACAACAACAAAAAAAATTTAGTTTTTATAACACAAAGTTTTTTTTAAAATGTTTATTCATTTCTTTTATTGTAAATTAATCAAATTTTCAATTAAATTTAATTTTTTTTAATTTTTAATTAATTTTAACATGACCAAAATCAATTTGATATGCTCGACACCAAATACCAAAATGTTTAATATCACGAAGCGTTTTACCTGCTGGTAATTGTAATGTAATATTTGCATTACGATAACCTTTCAATGGTTTTAATGAACCATTTTCATCGGGAATTGGTTGACCGGTTACACCGGGTTTTTTTGTTGTTCCAATCCAGAAAAATGCATCCGGTGCTTGACCATCATAATTTAGATTTCGTAGGATTATTGTTCGATCATTAATTGCATAAACTTTACCACTAACACCATGATCATAGCTGGGTAAATCACCAAGAAATTGTTCTTGTTCTTGTTGCTGAGCATTGGTCAGTACAGCTATGAAACTGATCGCTAAACAAATTTGCCAAAACATTTTTCAATCAATCAGTGGTTACAACAAAAATCGAATGTTTAAAAGAATAATAATGATGACAATCGACGATGAACATCGACATTTATATATGGTTGATTTGGTCATCATCAACTGTCAATGATGTGATTACAAGGTGAAACATTCTATTTTCAACAAAAAAAATAATAATTTCAATTACCATTGTTCAATTATTTTCTTTCAGAAAATGAAAAATACTTGAAAAATTTCACTTTCAAATTCAACAACTTTAAAGTTTCGACTCTTATAACATATGTCCACATTTTCGATGACAAAAAAAAAAATCCATTACTGATCATGATGATGATCATCATCAAGGATGCGGCCAAGAAAATAAAAAATTTTCGATTTGTTTTGTTCTTGAATAGGAAAACTTGAAAGAAAAAATTTCAATTTATTGATTGTCATCATGTATAATAATATTAACAGGATTTTTTTTTTGAAAAAATAAAAATTTGATTAAAATATTCATTTTTTTTGGTTAATGGTAGAGATTTGTGTGTATAATACAGAAACATGAATGTTTATGTTTCGTGGTCAAATTTTTTTTCATTCATTGATTCATTTATCACATTTTCTTATGAATTCAAATTTATATTCCACAAATGATGAACCGGCCTGTGATTCGGATAGATTACATGGCTAATGGAAAACAACAAACATTGAAAATTTTTCATTAAAAAAAGCAAACAATAAATTCATGAATACATACAGAATCGGCAATAATATCACGTGAAAGTATACGAAATATATATGAACTACGTTGATAGATACCGATTGGTAAACGCCAATGTGGTGATGATTCCGGTAATAGTATATGATCGGCTGTTTTTTTATATGATTGTGGTATATTTTCCATACCATAATAACCGGATGAACATGTAACTGGTTTTTCTTTCATTTCACAATGATCAACTTTCATTTCTTGATTTAATCTTTGAATGGAAAAAATAAATTTGTTAATAAATCAATGATCAACAGCAACAACAATAAAAGAAAACTTACTCAAATTGAAGTGTAACATATTCCAATTCCATATATTTTGAAATAGGAATTGTATAATGAAAACGATTACCAAATCCTTGTGTACAATGTAGTTTTGTACAATATGAATAATCAATGGTAGCATTCAATTCTAAAAGTTTGATCATTTCGACCATACGTGTAAGATCTTTTTTCGGATATGTATTATACATATTATTCTGTGTAGATGATTTACCGGTTTCTCGACGTTTTCGACGACGACGATGAAATTTTGAATCATGAAAATCATTTAAACTATGAATATCTTGTATACTTGATGAATGTGAATATTTACCATTACCATCAATGTTTTTATTATCATCATCATCATCATTATCATTGGTGAATGATCGAATTCCTTTATCGGTTCTTTTTTTCTTATTAATGTTTGATGAATTTGATTCATTTGGATTAAATTTCGATTGATTAGACAATGAATTTGATGAATTGATTGCGATCATTGATGCATTATTTGTCATTGTATCATTAGCTGATAATGTTTCATTGATCACAGTGGACGTTGATTCTTCTGCTGGATCAAATTTATGATCAATAATAAAATGAGATTTATTTGGATCTTTGAGATTATTAGTATTTGATGGTTCAATATTTGAATTCAAATGATAAACATTAAAATTTTCATCAGTACAACAATGAACTGGACATAATGTTGTTGATGTATAATCATAACAACCATTTGGTGCACCAAGTACCTGTGGTTTTAATACAGGTATAGCTGTTGGCTGTGGATGATGAGTAGGATGTGTTCGATCTTTATTCAATCGATTCGATTTATTTATTGTTTCGACAAATGAATTTGGATTGCTTGGTGATTGTTGTTGTTGATTATTATTATTATTATTTACATTTGAATAAGGTGGTAAATCAAATGATGATGATTGTGTATGATAATGATGATGATCAGACGATAATGATGATGATGATGATAACGATGTTGATGAATGATGATTTATAATATTTGAATGATGACGACGATGATATTCTAATATGTACAATGTTGCTATCGATGCAAGGCTATTTTGATTGATTGAAAAAAACAGATCAAATTAAATGGTTAAATGATTAAACAATCAAACATTCAAATTCAAACTTACCAAAATGCCATTATAAAGATGAGAATCATGATTAATGTTTGAAAAAATCTATTATTACAACCCTGGTTAATGGGCATTGAATGTTGTGATGAATTTGAACAATAAGATTTATGATGATGTGATGATGATGATGATCTTCGATGACATGAATTTTTACGCATTGTTTTATTATTGTTGTTGTTGTTATTATTATTACGATAATTACTTGAAACACAAGTAATTGTACTACTACTAGCATTGGATTTTATTGAATCAAAACGATTAAATTTACTTAATTTTGTATTCATACGTTCTAATTCATCGATACGTGTTTCCAAATTATCAGTAACTTTACATAATTCTTTTACTGCACCTAAATTTTCCATAAATATACGATCTTTATTTACTACAAGAAAATTTTCAATCATTTCACCATCGGATAATATTATATCACCAGTTTCTTTTACTGCTTCAGGTAGAATTTGTTGTACTTCTTGTGCAAGTATACCAGTACCATTTAATTCATTTTGATCGATACCAACTTCTTTGGCAAACGATGGTTTAAATTGATAACGTACAATACGCATATTTGAAACATTTTTTAATTGTTCACGTGTATCAACTTCTTCGATATTGGTTTTTGCACGTTTATCCGATGGTTGCATTATGCTGCCGGTAACTTTTGCATTACCAAATACAACCAACGATTCATCCGGACGATCAGTATTAATACCTACACGTCCCGTATGAAATATTGTTTCCGGTATTGGACCTTTTTGCCAAACTAATTCAACATCATTTTCGAATTGTCCGGGATTGGATGCCTGTTGAAATGAATGAATTTATCATTAAATGGTAATGAATTTTTCGGAAACAAACAAAAATACATACCCGAACAATAATTCTTTCCGATGCTTGTGCTGCTATCTGATGAATTTGATCACCAACATGTGCACAAAGTGAAACGACCAAATAAAAATATCTTTGATCAGGATTTGGTTTACCTTTTTTGCGCATATTATTTGATGTTGTTTCACTAAAATGTAATCGGCCAACGGTCATTTTTGTTACCTGATCACAGGATAATTCAATTCGTACTGGATGAAATGCTTTTTTACTTCTATCCGATTGTGATTGTTCGACTTTTATTGTTTGTGTTGGTGATTCTACTTTCACTCCGTAAAAATGTAGATAAAAATTATCAATTTTCTGAAATATTTCTGTTGATAATGTTTTTACATAGAATGGATTGGCAACAATCTGTATATGAACAGTAACTTGAAAATGATTTTTTTTCTGACAAACAAATGCATCATCAGCATTACTAAAATTAAAACCTTTATCCGCATCCACACGATAATTTATTGTTGGTCTATTTCGTAAACAAAGTTTACAAGCGAAAAACCATTGAATTAATTTAAATTGTAAAAAAGTTTAATTCAAAATTAAACTTACATTTCTTTAAAATTAACATCATATAATGGACAAGATAGATTTGTATTGAACGATGTAAATCGGATACATTGATAAAATGAATCAGATGAATACATTTGACTATCCGGACCATAATCACCTAAAAAATCATCATCACATTGTTGTGTTGAATGTACATTATTATTATTATTGCTATTACTACTATTATCATTGATGATGCCATTCAGACCATGTTGTTGTTGATGACCAGAATCAGGTGATAAACCATTATTTGGTTCTTGTTTAATATAAATATTTGTTGTTGTTGTCGATCCACCATTACTTTTCGTTTCAGATATTTTACGTTTTTTCCCACCATTAACACCACCACTATTTTGGCCAACTGTACCACCGGTGATTGGAACGATTAAATTTGATGGCGGCGGTGGTGTTGAATGCTGCGTTTGCGTTTGCGATTGCGATTGATTCACTGTATTTGTTAATGTTGTATAATGTTGACAATCAGGTGGTGTTGTTATTGTTAAACGACTTAGATGATAACTATTATTTGGTTCAATCATCATTGATGGTGCGGATGTTTGTGAATTTGCATAAATATTATTATTATTCGGTTGTTGATGATAATTTGTTTGATGAATCATCGATGATTGCTGTTGTTGTTGTTGTTGATGTTGATGATGATGATGACCAGTTGTAACCGAACTAAGATTATGATGTATCATACTAACCGAATTAACTGTTAATGGACAAGTTAATGATGATGGAACAATATTGCTGCCGGCTGCAGCAGCAGCAGCCGCAGCTGCAACACCTAATGTAACCATTTGATGATGTGATTCCAGTATTGATAATTGTGTATTAGTTGTTGCTGTTGTTGGTTGATGAATAATAGCTGCTGCTGCTGATGGTGGTTGCGGATGTTGTTGTTGTTGCAATGTATGATGTTGATGATGATTTGTTGTTGATTGAAGAATTTGTTCATGATGTTGCGGCAGCGGCTGTGGATGATGTATAGAATGTTGCGGATGCGGCGGTGGATGATGTGATTGAGGTATATGATGATGATGATGATGATTTAGGCTTGTTGTTTCAATCTTTACATTATGATGATTTTGATGATTAAGATGATGATTATGGTGATTCAGATGATGATGATGATTATTGTGTTGTGAATAATCATTATTGATAAAATGTTTCATATTTTCTTCCATATTATCTGATTGTTGTTGTTGTTGTTGTTCAGCAATAACAGTAATATTATTATTAGTAGTAGATTTTGGTGAAAATGGTGGTTCTGAACCAGAATCTGGTGGTGAATCCGGTAAACAACTAACAACTGATTGATGATTTGAATTTGTAATTGTTTCATATGATTGTAGATGATATTGCTGTTGTAAATTGGCCGATTTCGATGATAATGGTGATGATGATTTTAATTCAACAACGTCAGGTGATGAAGTGATTAGAATAGAATTTTGTTGTTGTTGTTCATCTTGATAATATCTAAAGAGAAAGGAAAAGAGAAAAGAAGAAAAATTATCGATTATCGATTGATCAAATGTGAATCGATTATCATACAAATTGGTTGTATCATCATTCTGTTGTTGTTCAAGTTGATGTTGATGATCATTATCCACCTGATTAATATATTCTTCCAATTGGCTAAAATCTAATCCAGCATTATCAATGCCACCATTGTTGATATCATCATTATCACCATCATCATCTTCAGTGATTGTGGTAGTATCAACACCGAAATCATCGGCCGATCGACCTAAACGAGATAATGAAGAAGAAAAAAAATTACAATTATCATTAATAACATCATTAATTAATTATTTATTAATTAATCTAAGAGTTTATAAATCATTTTCTCTCGAATTATCATTAAAGAAACTAACAAAATTTTTTTATCCATAAAAATTCTTCGTTCATTTTGTCGATGTGGATTCAACAAAATCCAAAATGAAAGTTTTTCCCGAAAAAAAAATTTGCATAAAATGTTCTTAGCCTAACGAATGATGATGATGATGATAATTACCAACCAATCGCTAAATGATACGAAAATAATCAATTACGTGGGCGCACACCAAAAAAAACCTAAATTTTCGCTGATTGATTATCTTTGGTGATTACTGAACATCTGATTTCAATCAATCAGTCAATGATTAATTAATTGATTTTTATTCCACTAAAAGTCGGCTGAATGAATGGAATTGTTTTTCGTCAATTTTTGGAAATGTTTGTTTATCTTTCTAACTTGTTGCTGTTTTTGTTGTTATTTTTGCTATTTTCCCATTTGAATCCAATCAAAAAAAATTTTTGATCGAAAAAATAAATCGATACAATTCACAATGAAAATTGTGAATTTTCAACAACCAAAAAAATCAAACGAAATGAATTCAGCCAGAAAAACTTTTTAATCTTTTTCTTTTCTTTTTTTTTGGTTTAAAAATCAATTCAGGCGAAACAACCAAAAAAATTGATCGATTTTTTTTTATTTTATTTTGGAAAACTGGGTGCCAAATAAAAACACTTTTCATTTAAAACGAAAATTGTGAAAATCTTTGTTCTGATGATGTGAAATTTTTTTCCCGAAAAAAAACCCGTCCAATCGTCTAGTGGCTACCATAAGATAATTTTCCATAAAAAATATGATGTCCGGCACAAGATTATAACAATAATTTTTCTTATAATTCACTTTACTTGACAATTTTAAAATTTAGGATAAGATTTTTGGATAAAATCATCCGAATGATAATAGCCATGAATTTGATGATGATTATGATGTGTGTGTGTGTAGACGTTATGATTATGTTTTTTTGTGGAGAAAATTACCTTCACAGGATTCAGTAATAATATGTAAATCATTGTTATATGAATACAGGTTAACAACATACAAGATTAACAACAACAGCGACAAGGTAACTGTAACACAATTTTATCATCCCAATCATTTAATGAATGTTGGTACAAGATGATAGTGATGAACCGATCAGTACCGACCATCATCATCATCATCAGCGAATCGATTTTTGTTACCAGATCAGATTCCTAAATGGTTATTTATTGCGACAAATTTTTTTTTCGAAAACAAAAACAACAAAAATATAACGAGTCTAGACAAATTTTGCTAAATCATCTTCGTTTTTGGTGACACAAAGTTCGTTTGAGTTAAAGAAATTACACCTTTTAGTGATCATTAAGACGCTAATGATAATGGCCAATATTATTAGCCAAATTAAATGAACAAATTAGAAGAAAAGAAAAGATGTCTCGATAGGAAAAACCAAATGAAAATTGTCATTTTTTTCTGTTCGATATGAAATGTTTTTTTCATTCGGCAAAGAAAAATGTTTCATGCATAAAACCACCAATTATTTAGTGTTTAAATGGTGGTTGCCATTACAACGACAACAAATGTCAAAAAGCAGATGATTGAAAACAGTCATCAGTGAAAAAAATTGGCGGTCAGTTTTCAGTCATCGAGAAAATTATTACATCAAAAGAACAAAATGATTGAAAAGATCCACTTGTTGTTGTTTGGATCCACTTGTTTTTCAACAAATGTTTGTTCAAACAGCCAAACATGTGGATTTTAGATTGAAATTTGATTCAATGATGATTCAAGAAAAAAAACAATTATCATTGAATAAGAATTTACATACATAAAAATTCAAACAGATTTAAATCAACCAACCCGAACAACAAATTGTTTGGGTCAAATTACTTTTTGATCATCACCCGAAATCAAGAAAAAATGGGTGCTAAAACATGAACCAGATAATCATCTTTGAATGATTATGAAACAATTTCAACTTCAACTTTGTCCAAAAGTTAATTATTTTATTAAAAAATTCAAATTTTTTACATTTACATGCGTTTAAGTAAATTTAAACGGGTAAAAAAACAAACAAATAAAAAACATTACCGATACCGTTTCTTTATTATTTTAGCAGAAAAAAAACCGGAAAAGAATCCTTTTTCATAATCTAATCTCAACGAAGAGAGGAAAAAAATTCAAATTTTCAACGGAATTTTGTTTCATGACGAAACTCAGATAAAAGACAACAAGAAAATCTGATAAGCAAAAATTTTTTCTTTTGCAAAATTAAGATGCTGACTAACTGACTGACTAAACGCAGATCTAATAATAACAACCGGTGTAAAGAAAAAAGATAAAAAATTCTTTGACAAAAAAAAACAAACAAACATGAGTTACTGGAAAGCGAAAACAAAAATTTCGATTTGTACATATGTTCGTGATGATGATTATCCCATTTAAAACAGCCAGGTTGAATTTACTTTTCATTTACTAATTCCGGATTGTATCAATTAAAAAGAAAAAGAGGAAAAAATTTCTCATGAAAAATTTATTTGTTTTTTTTCTTTCATTTTTTCATTTTCACACACACACATTTCATTTTGAAATTATACTTCCTTCATTCATTTTTGGACAAAATTAAAGGATTTTTATTTTTGAAAGAAAATATGATATCACATGATTCTTATCTGAATCTATCTATAATAATTAAACTTTTTTCAGGAATTTTACCCGAAAAATTTATTTATTTGGGAATATTTTTTTTCTCATATCATGGGGGTAAATCATCATATTACCTTGATTGATTGATTGATGATGATGAAAAATTACAGATAACAGAACACACACAAACAAGATGCGAATGAACTTTGATCAACAAAAATCTTTGATTTTTGAAAGAATATTTTTGCTTGATTCACTTTTCTTCAAAAAAACACACACATTTCACATACACAAAAATCGATTATAGTCGGATCAAGTGTCAAATGACAAATTTTTAAAAAAGTTATCACATTGCGAACATCTTCATCTTTATGTCCATCAAAGGATTAAGCAAAATGCCACGAGGTTGGCTACCTATTGGTCACTTTTTTTTTGTTTTCCAAGCCGAAAAAAAAACAAACTGTCACAGTGTTTTGTTTTCAAGATAAAGTTTTTCTTTTCTTCATCAGTTTTTCTTTTCAAAATGTAGACATAATCTTTTTTATCTCTATTTTTTTGCTACTTTCATTACGTACACACACACACATATACAATTAACCAAGTGGTAGCCGTTCGTATAGCTAATATATTATTCCATTTTCGGTTGACATGTTTAGTGACATTATTATTATTATTATTTACCTGTATGTCTGCTTGTTGATAGGATTGAGCTATCCATTTCTCTCTCTCTTTTTGGATCTTTTCTTTCTTTTCTTTTCTTTGGTTTGAACAGAATGATTCTGAATTTATTTTTTCTCTTTTTTTTCTAATTTCAGCATTTTTTGTTGTTGTTGTTTCATCTTTTTTTTTTTTTTGTTCCTTGGCTGATTCAATAGAGCAAAACAACAGCAACGAGGGAAATTAAAAATCCTGACAGCTTTTTTTCTGGATTCCATCACTTTTGCAACAAGAATCACTCATTCTACTGAAGAGAAGAATTTGAGGAATTTGAGAATTTCCAAAAAAGTTTCAATCAAAAATTTGATTCCGGTTTTTTTCGTAGTCAAAAAAGATTTCTTCAATTTTTGTTGTTGTTGAAATAGAAACCAATTGTTGGAAACAAGAAAAAAGAAAAAGATAAAAAAAAGTTTCCACTTGATCTACAAAGTTAACAACAATCAATCAATCAATCAATCAGAAATATCGACGACGACGACGAAAAAGTTGAAAGAAAAAAAATGTGAATCAAACAACAACAGCAAAAAAAACCGCAAATTAACCCGACAATACTTGTTGTTGTTGTTTGATGACGATGATTGTTGGAAGTGAAAACAGAAAATTGTTTAAAAAAATTCAAACGAAAATCGATCGTTTACACACAAAATGATCAAATAAATAATTGCCACTGTCACAGTGAAGAAAAAAAAATGGAAAAAAAATGACAATTTTGTTTAGTTTTTTTTTGGCATTGCTTTGGAAAGTGATCTTTACAGCAACAACAACAACAACAACAAAATTGTCAACCAAAAAAACATTTTGTCGTTTGTCGTTTTTTGGTGGATAAAATTTTTCGATCATCGATTTTTTGGATCGAATATTTGGCAAAAACATTCTTTATCCACCAAGTGATCACAAATTGGAAAAAAGAAATTCGGTCATTCGACAAAAGTTCAACAAAACAAAACATCCCTGTTGATGATGAATATGACACCGATATTTTTTTTGTTACTTGATTTAATTTTTGATCACCTACAAGTTCAATAGGTAATTATTGACAAAAGAACTTTAATTACAATTTTGCCGGCTTCGAAAAAAACTACAAGTATAGATATTCTGATAACTCAAAATAACATTGTATCATACGATTTTAATTAGAAAACGAAACAAAAACGAAAAACAATGAAAATCTATATGGGCAATATAGAATCCTGCAAACACAAAATTGATTTGATAAGAAATTGAATTGAATTAAAAAAAGGAAAATAAAGATATTGCTTGTGCACACAATAGGTTACGAAAATAAAAAATCTAGATCAAAAAAAAAGGTTTAAAGATTGATTAAAATGTTCCAGTTTTTCTGCTGCTGTTATCGTTGTAAAAGTTACTCTAAATTTTTTTTTTGTTATTTGTCAATTTTAATTTGAAAACAAAACAAAAAATTAAATCAAATCAAATTCCAAAAATGAAACGCGTGTGCACTATATGGATCATGAAAAAAATTTTTTCTTTTCTGGATCGATTCCAAAATTGACAATTTGAAAACAATGACAGCCACAATCAGCCAATAAGTCAAATTGTCAACAGAAAAAACTGACTGACTGACGAAACTTTATTTGTCAAATCAAAAATTACGAAGAAATTTTCAAAAAGTTTACAAAAATAATTTCAATCAAACAATCTAAACAGAGTACCCTTGATTCATTTGAAAAAAACACACATATAAATTACTCAATTTGTGTTACAAGCAGTGGCGGCCACCGTCAGGTAATTTGTACGAAAAATCTTACTAATAAATTTATTACCATACACCTATGATTATTTCATTAAAACCGAACGACGAACGAAACAAAATTTTGGGATAATTTAAAAACCTATTAAACATTATGATGATGGATAATAACTTTACCATCTAATGAATAGATGGTTATGCAGTACGCCCATATAATATTCATATGTGGTAACTAATGTTTCCCATCGATGTGAAATTTTTGTTTTCCTTTTTTTTAAAAAATTCAATGGAATCAATTTTCATAATTTTTTTTCTTTTAACGAAAATTTCAAGTGAAAAAAAACAGCAAAGATTCTTTTAGCTATCAAATACATAAACGAATAAACGAACAAATGGAGCATAGCCTGATTTGAATCAATCGATGGATGATGATGATGGAATCAAATTGATCAATGATGAATGGTGATCGACTATTTTTCGTGCGATTTTTTCTTTCATTCATCGTTTTTCGTTTTTGCAATGAATGGAATAGAAAAACAAAACCAACGAAAATAAAAATCCAAAATTGAAAATCGGCTAAATAAAGTAACATTGTTTTGTTTGGGCTGGTGTTTAGGTCAACCGAAATTCCACATCAGGTGTGAGATGGTGTGTGTATGTGTGTGTTTCAATGAAATCAAGAGAATGGCGTAAATTGAGAAAAAGAAATATATTTTTTCCAAATAAACACAATGAAAAAACCGATTGATTAAAATGATTTTTGATGCGTGAAATCTACTGATTCGAACCACAAACTTGTTGGTTGAATGTCTGAAGAAAAACTTACACACACACATATAAGATGGATTCAAAAAAAAAATCTTATCATATTGGATTGTGGTAAATTTCCGGAAAAAAATTTTTCAGGAAAATTTCCCGGATAATGTCAAAGATTAATTAACATCAAAAACAAGATTATAACTGATGATGATGACAAACATCAAATGAATGTTTTATGACATTCTTAATGAGATATGTTTGCAAATAATCATCATTTGAAAAACATCATTTGATTTCATACATACTAAAAAAACAAAAAATGTGTGATAAATTTTGAAATGACCATTAATGAAAATATAGACCATATGATTAATCATCAAGTTAATCTTGATCTCCGAAAAAAAATTTTTATCAACCATCATCATCAACAACAATGAAACAAGTGACAAATTGTCATCGTTGATGAACAATCTAAAAATGGAACAACATTCTGTATACAACAACATCATTCGATGGTCAATATAATTACATAGAAATTCATTTGGTCATGATGATTATGATTATCATTACAATGATGCCATAACTTCAACTTTTACATCATTCAGTTAAAGTTATTTTTTTTTTGTTTCAATTTTTTAAAAATGAACAAAACAGGTTGCCAAAACATATTTAAATATTGAAACAGTAGCGACACACACTGGTTGTGAATGTAACTATTATACTGTATAAACCGCACAATATGTATAAGCCGGATTTAACCTATTCATAGTTCAGTTAGGTTAGGTTGATGACTATGACTGATAGTAAAGTTGAAAGTTTGCATATATGTGCGAAATTAAAGTATATTTTTTTTTTGTCAATACCACTGCCATATAGAGAGAGATAACTTTCAAAAATCAAAGGCATGCATTGAATTTGAATGTTTTCAAGGCAAACATTGTTGATGACCTTATCATCATTCAGGTAATATTCATTGTTCCGGGGGCTATATATGTGTGCGCGCATACAGCAATTGAACAGCAAATGTTACCTGAACACTATCATTGAACCTTAAGAGAAAGTTGAACGAACTTTACCAAACGAAGAAGAAGAAGAAGAAAAGATTTTCCAACGAAACACATACGAATCTGTTGGATGGGTGATGTTGATGATTGTAGTAGGGCTGTGGTAAGCAAACTTTAAAAAAAAAACTACTATGATGTTATTGGATTGTTTTTTTGGGGAATGGCCAGCTGCAATGATTGACTATTGGTCACCTGTCATCAATTATTGGATCAATATTTTCTCGATCTGTGTTTTTTTTTCTGATGAATCCAATCATTCTGTGATTCATTCGATCAAATCTTAAAAAAATTTGACCTTTCTAAACAATAAACATCTTATGTAACCATTATTATGGGCAGTAAAAAAATCATTGTTTGATCCAAACATCTGTGTCAAACAACAACAACAATGAATGATCGGGAATGCCAAATACAAAGATCACGACCCTACTAGAGAGGTAAAGTAATTTGAATTGAATTGATCATGAAAGTCTGGCCAAAGTCTGATCATGTTTGGGTCAAAAAACAGGTACATAAAATTTCTTTTTTTTTAAAGAAAAATAACAACAACAAGTTCAAGGTCGTTGTTGATTGTCTTAAGGTCATGACATTTTTACTGTTTGTTTTTTTTCGATTTGAAGAAACTTTCCGCATTTTTGGATTCGGGAAAAAATTTTTTCATTTTGTTTACCGAGAAAAAACAAACAAAACAAAAACTTACCTAAAATAGCCTGTAATGTACGATGATCTTCGATCAGAATTGTATCCATGATGATGATGATGATTAGGCAAGTTGATTATTCAAAAAATCAACATCATGATGATGAATGTCAATGTCAATGTCGAATAGTCGATACGAAGTGAATGACCGTCGTCACCGGTTGATTATCATCATTTTATAAGCAAATTGAATGTCCAATCGATGAATTTGATAATAATGATAAATCACCATCACAGCACAAACATTACAAAAACAAAAAACAAAAACACCGGTTGCTCATTAGCGATTTTTTCGTTTTGTTGTTTCTGAACAAATCAATTTTGTTTAAACATTTAAAAAATTCCCGAAATTGATTCAAAGTTTCTCTGAAATGATGATGATGTTGAAAAAAAATGAAATTTTTATTCGAAAAAAATAAAAATAAAACACATCATCAATTTGCAAATGAGAAATGTTATGAAGCGAAAAAAAAAAGAAAATTTGAAATGAAACAAAACGAAATGGAATGGAATGGAGAATTTTTGTTTTGGGCAATCTGTTTTACGCAAGAAGAAGAAGAAGAAGAAGTAGTTGAACAACTTTCTTTCGTTCAATGCCTTCATAAATGATCATCGAAACAACTACTACCACCAAGACCATCATTATCATCAACGAGAGTTTTTCAAGCTTGTTTTCTTTCTTTGACCATCAAAACCAGGTTTTGTTTGGCCATATTGAATTGAACGGTTCTTTTCAATCATCATCATCATTTTTTGTTTGTTTGTTTGTTTCGAATGATGTTTCACCCATATCGAAAGCTGTTCAATGTTCATACCCATACTTGAATGAATTGGAAAGTTTTGTTTCGTTTCATATTCATTTCGTTTTGTTTGCTGTTTTTCCTTCTGGCTAAAACACATCAGCAACAAGTTGATTATGGACAATTTGATTGGTTTGTTTGTTTGTTACAGCATGACCTATTCGGTGATTCAAATTTTTTTTGGGTTTTCTTTGACAAAAATCATTCATTTCTTTTTTCTTTTTTGATTGATGATTGTTTTTTTCTATTACAAAATGTACTTACAAAAAAAAAGGAAAAAAGTCTTCAAAATCGTTGTGATCGTTGTTGTAGTTTATTTTTTAAACGAAAAGACTAAGAGTAAAACAAGCTTCATCATAATCATTAATGAAAAACTTAGCTACCCTTGTCATGTTACAAAATAAACAGCCGGTTTTCAATCATCTGGTTTTCTTCAATTATTATTGACTAATAATGTCAAAATGAAAATTGTCAACAACAAAAAACAACATATCAAACATATGTAACATAAAACACCACACTTACTTGTTGTTGTTTATTTCTGGACAATGAATATTTATATAAAAAAATTTACAAATGTAAAGAGAAAATTTTTTTTTAATATATCATCATTATTAATTATAATTATAATAATCATTAATATTTTTTTTGTATTCATTATAATCAGATTTTTTTTTGAAAAATTTAAAACAATTTTTTGTTTGTTTGTTGAAATTATCTGTTGTGTATATGGAGATAGGGTATTCATTATAATTTTAACAGTAAATATTAAGTGTGTGTGTGTGTGTGTGTGCGAACGATTAATATCGAAATAAAAAGTAATAATGCGTAAGAATTTAAACCAAAAATGATGCCAAAAATATATAATGATGATGATGTTTATGTGTTAATCAAGTCAGCAACGATGTCTACAGCAAAAAAATCCGTTGAAACGTTCCCAACCATGTGATTGAAATTCGGGCATTATTTTTTTTGTTGGTCCACGGTATCCTCGCGCTCTAAAATCCTAAATTTTTTCAATTAAATTGACAAAAC